AAAATTTGATCGATTATTTTAGTATAGTGTCGAGGCCTGTGTAGCGTTAGGGTGGATAAAAAGATACGTCGTTAGCGCTACACCACCCAAGTTTAGGTAATAGGTTAAAACGTGCCGAGAAGTGTCTGGCTTTTTTTAAAATTTTTTTTGGTCCCTTGGGAGCTAAACCTGTAATTATTCTGAGCTGATCCCTACTATATTGAAGTAGTTCTTCATTTCTTTTCTCGGACGGTTCCCTAATGAAGGTTCTTCTGTGTTTGTTGCCAGGTACTTTTGTCCAGTACTCTGTGTGCTTCTTATTGGTCCATGTCCTAATCTGGTTTCGTACCAATGATTTTGGTACCCCCAGAGCTGGTTCAGGACCTATATATGAAGTTGATGATCCGTGTCTAGCGCATTCATCAGCTTTATTATTACCTGTGATTCCTGAATGCCCTGGCACCCAGTACAAAGTTAATTTCTTCCTTTTTGCAAGTTCATTCAGTTCTTCATGGCATTCCCAGACCAGTTTTGCTGACACCTTCGGGTTTGTCAGAGCCCCTAGTGCGTTCTTGCTGTCTGTTAAAATATTGATACGCTCATTTCTTTGAGGTCTCAATTTAATAAGCCTGGCACACTACAAGATAGCATACACTTCCGCCTGTAATTTAAATTTCTATCCGCTCGGCATATTCCAGCTCCCGTTACATGTTTGGTCTTCGATCCATCTGTATACCAGGTGTTTTTTCCAAACATGTTTTCGGGATGACTAATGGTCTTCTACTCTTCACGGCTTATGATTTTGGCCGTGAAGTTTGTGTTAAAGGTGTACTTCGGTGTCATGTGGTCCGTGCACATATTCAATATGTGCTCCTCCACATGTTTCGAAATTTCTGTTCGGTCTGATCTTTTGTAGTTCGGTTATTTTTCCAGTCTGAATTGGCCCATCCTGGCCTCCACCATTATCACAAAGTATAAAGGAGTTTCAGGAGTGTCTCCAATGCAGCTGTTGGGGTAGTTCTCATTGCTCCCGTCATTACCAAACATGCAAGTCTTTGCACGTTGCCTAGTTTGTTGATAGCGGTCGCCTGCTTCATCTTTGGCTACCAGACCAGAGATGCGTATGTTATCATGAGTTTAACCACCATCATGTATAGCCAATATACCATGTCTAGTTTTAGCCCCCATGTGCGTTTGCGAGCATCAGTGCTACCTCCGCTTTCCTTTTTATCCTGTCCAAGTGTTGATTCCAGATCACTTTGGAATCTAGAATTACTCCCAGATATTTAACTTTCCTCGAAATGTGTTTTTCTTCACCTCGAAGTTTTAGAGGTCCTAGACCCTCCGTTTCAGTCCTCTTGGTGTATGCTACTATGGTCGATTTGGGTAGGCTTATGTTGAGCCCTTCTTCTTCTGTCCATCTTGTTATAATATTCAGGGCCTGCTGCATGCATCCTTCACTACATTTACCCTGGACTAAAATGACTAAGTCGCCTGCATAGCCCAGTGCTTTATACCCATTGTGGTCCAGGAGACATAATAGCTCGTCCAATACAAGGTTCCATAACTGAGGGAATAAAACCCCCCTGAGGACAGCCCCTTGCTACCCGTGCCATGACTGTTTCCGCCATAATGATTGTATATACCAATCTTCCCCTAGGCATGCAGTCAGTCTATCCACCTAGAGCTTGTCTTGTCGATCCCTCTTCTCCTTGACGCCTGGATGATTGATTCTAACGACGTATTGTCAAATTATTTTTTGTAAGTACCTATGTTCTACTTTTTCTGTTACCCGACGTAGAGCCGATTCTGTTGACATACCTGACTGTATGCATATTGGTCTCGATGTAATGGTCTGATAGCCAGTGATACGTCTCTGATATGCCTGTCATTTCTAGCGTTTTCAACGCGAATGACATGAGACTGATTGGTCTCAAGGCCTTCGCCGAGTCCTGCCCGATTTTCCCAGGCTACAGAACAAATTGAAATTGAGACACCAGCTGAAACAAATGAGAAACAAATCATCCCGTCTACCAATATCATTCAAGAGCCCCAACCATCTTCATCTGTAATTAATCATTAGGAAGTAACACAACTCAAAAATTTACCAACTCCTTTAAAAAAATGTTTGTTTTGGCCTATGTCAGATAAAAACGAGGTGAAAAAGAGATCGAAAGAAAAGTTGCCAGCAGTAGCATCATCCACCAGATGGAAAGAATATCACTTGAAGAAACAAAAAATCAAAGAAGATAATGAAAAAGCTAAACAGGATAGAACACTACTATGGGAAATAAAACAAAAACAGCAAAGGAAAAAATTAAACAAGGCAAACGAAGAGTTTTGTCATCGTCTTCATCTGAATCGAGTAGAGAACTCCATTTAGAATCTGAAGAAGAATTTTATTATGAAAATGATGAACGTCCGAATCCAATATATGATCCTAGTTTGCTTAGCATTGGTGACCAAATAATAGTATCATATGAGGAGTATTTTCCTGGTTATTATGGAAATATATAAATCAAAGGCATTTGTAAGTGTTATGCAAAAAAGTCGTGCCAACACCTGGAAGTGGCCTCAAAGACAGGACAGTTTGTGGAAGTTTTCAAGGATATTATGGAAAAAAATTGAAGAACCTGCTAAGGCCAATGAAAGAGGAGCATCTCGTGTACCAGATTTTTTTAAATATTCAGATCATGTTTAAATTGTGAATACAATGAATGAATAAAGCTATATTTCAACATATTTGTGTCAGTTATTGGTTCATCTATTGGTTATTCCAAACATCATGTTTGTCAGTTATTGGAGAAAATATAGGTCTGTATGTTAATCAGTAAAAAAAAATCGAATCAACTTTTTCGAAAACCATCATCATGCATCTTTAAGGACATTAAATTCTGAATTTGCAACAAGCTGCTACTGCCTATTTGTTGAATGTTCGGAGATATAAAATTTGATCGATTATTTTTTCCTTAAAGTGTCAGTTAATCGTTCCCTTACCTTAAGCACTCACCTCTTTCATTGGTATTGGTGCTTCCCCAGGTTAGGTGGTATGCATTGGCATCAAAGCCAATTATAAGTTGTCCCTCTGCTTGGCAGGTCCTAAAAACTATTCCACTTCCTGGTTGGTGGTGATTCCGGCTGTCGTAAGAGAGGTATGCTGATCCAATGATGATTTTCTCAGGTCCGTCCCCACCAGCCGTCTTTATTTTGACTGCCGTCATTTCTCTTGAACACAGATTACTCATCGGCAGTATATTTATTCCTCTACGGATAATTATGCATTTTCTTGGGGTCCCTGAGGTTCTGTTATAAATTAACTCCCCTCTGATGCTCCCCAATCCCATTATTTTTCAAATGGCCTAAAGTAGTAGCCTTATCCAACCAAGAGGCTGAAACGGTGGCAGAAGCCCTGTTGCAGAACGTAATTGCCAGACACAGAGTACCCCAAGAACTCGGATCAGAGCCGCAACTTCGAATCATATCTATGGAAGGAAATGATGACTTTGTTGAGAATAAAAAAGACAAAAACAACTGCTCTTCACCCACAATCCGATGTAATGGTCGAGAGGCATAATCGCACCATAAATAAATACATCTCGATGTTTGTCTCCGAAAACCAAAGAGACTGGGATGAATTGGATCCTCTCTTTCTGTTGACATATAGGAGCTCCCAACATGACGCGACAGGTTACATGTTGTTATAACTGGTCGAGAATCTCAAGAGGTACCACCCCTTTCAGAGTACGGGAATGACCTAAAGGAGAGACTGTAAATTGTACACAAATTTGGCAGATCCAAATTATAGCTTTCCAGTGACAAGATGAAGATAAGATTTGACAAAACGTCGCTGCCGGTGAGCTTCAAGGAGGGCGATGCAGAGTGGCTCTATAAACCTCAACGTCGCCCATAGCAACGACCTTACTTGGTAACCAAAAAGATAAAGATAAACAACCTGGTGTACAGAATCCAATTGTCATCCAGAAGAAAGCCTAAAGTTGTCCACATAGAGAGACCGAGTCCTTACATGGGTCGTCATGTCCCTTCTTGGAAGGGACATGACAAAGAATAGGGGCAAACCGCGGGCACGTGTTTCTGGCTATTGGCCTCATCAGCGCGGTGCAGCCAAGTGTAAAGATGGACAACAAACGGTATAATTGCTATTACGT